AGGGAAAGAAGGTTGGCAACTGAGTAAGTAGTTTGTGATGCTGGTAGCACTGTGTTGTATTTTCTTTAGTATTGGTTAGACTAGTGCATGTTGTAGGGAAGGGGATTGAATACCTTTTTCTTTCTTTTGTTTGCAATTTATTTCTTATTAATTTTCATGAAGAAACAGACAGTAACAAAATACAAAGAGTTGAGAGACTTGCATTGTTTTATATATTACCACATACTGCATATTTCACAGGATATCCAATAATATTATGCAATTGCACACCTTTACAAATTGTCACAGCTGCAAGACCAGGCAGTAAAAAAACAGACAATATAACACAGCCATAACATGGTAGGGTAGTGGTAACAATTAGAAAAAAAGTTATACACAAATAGGCAAATAAGGGAAGGAGAGAAACAGGGTGGCAGGGAGGGGAGGAAGGGGAAAAGCAGGGAGGTTAGGTGGAATGGAGATCTTGTACTATATGAACTGCATATGCTTTCTTTACCCAAATGTACCAAGAATGGGAGTCCCAAATTCCTTCATATTCATATAATTTTTCTCTATGTTGATAAGCTATTTGTTCTTTCATTAGTAACTCGGACAGGTCTGAATACCAATGCTCTATCTGGGGCACAAGACCTACTTTCCATTTTTGTAAAATAATGTGCTTGGTAATCCCTGTGGCCTTGAAGAATCAGATCTATGGTGGTAGTACTGCTAGCGTAGTAGGTACTTTACCTGGCATATCATATTTTACACATCTCTACTAATCCAAACCTGGTGATTTTAAAAGAATATTCATTGAGGCATGTTTCTGTTATTTTAATTTTTCCAAATTGCATTGCAATGTTAATAGTCAGTAGCTTTGTCAATATGGTTAGAGCCCTGCGCAGATAACAATATTTTGAATCTGTTTCAGCAAAAAATAGTAGAGCCCTGCGCAGATAACAATATTTTGAATCTGTATCAGCAAAAAAGAGGACTTTATGTCCATGGCTATCCATGTCCACAGAGATGCGGATATCCATGGACATAAAGGTGATTTCTGCAAATTTGCAAGGTTCTAGGTCCAAAATTTGCATCCATATCTGCAAAAATGTGTTGCAGATATCCACATCCACCTCTAAAACAGGTATCTGCAGATTTGCAAGGCTTGAATGATGCTTTTAATATTTCCTGATGATATATGTCCTTCTGTTTCAATAGAATCGCACAATGAGGTAATAATAGAAGGCAATCAGAAGTATACAAGTAGCCTCTGTAATTAGTAAAACTAAGCTTGTGTTCACTCTACGTGGCTTTTATCGCTGACATTCAGTCATGCAGAAACCACATGAAAGTAGAATGCAGTAGCTCTACAGTCA